TTCCAAAGAGGTCTCGGACACAGCCTGCTGATGGACAGGGAGATTTGCACACTTGGTCGGGACAAGTGCTTCTTGGGGTCATTCGGGTCTCTCCCTCACTGTGCACGAGGGCACTGAGACCCAGAGAGGATCAGGAGCCTGGACAGAATCACACAGCAAGTCAGGAACAGAGCCAGAACCAGAACTGGGTCTCTAGCCCAGCCAGAACCCTCCCCGGCCCTCGCTGCACCTGGCAGCCCAGCAGGCATCCCCAGGAGCGTGCGTGGACTCCCTTGGTGCAGAGCAGGGTGTGCGTGCCCGGGAGGGATTACCTCGAACCACACTCTCGACGGCGAAGTTCATGGCATAGCTGATCAGGGCCATGAGCACCCCGAGGGCCATCAGGAAGTACCAGTCCTCACCCACACGGAACAGCTGCTTCTTCAGCCACTCCAGGCCACCTGGGGTGGGGCACGGGGTCACGGCCTGGGCTGGGGAGGGGCAGGGGCCGTGTAGTCGAGCCCGAGAAGCCTGCAGGGAGTTCTGCCTTACCCTGGGGCCAGGCGGGCTTTGTGGCAGGGGGGGGGGGGGGAGGGGGGGGGGGAAGGGGGCACAGTGGTGCTGGGCTTGCGGCCCCTGCCGCTTTACCCTGTCTCCTTCCCCATGCCTGCTCAGACCGGGACTCACGGGGTTCAGGAGGCCAGGGAGGGGAGGGGCTGGCAGCTACACCTGTCACCACCCTCGGCAGGGTCCTGCGTCGTCCCAGGACCTGTGGAGCCATGCACCTACTGGCCCCAGCAACGCCTCAGGCCCAACGGCTGCCATCCCAGCCTGGGAGCCGGCCTCACTGATGAAGGGCACCTGCTCCGTGGCTTTGCTCAGCCTCCTTCTGGAGTCCCTGCCTTCTTGGCCCCCAGCTAAGGGGACAGTCAAGTCTCAAAGCAAGCAATCCACTCAGGGCCCCAAGGAGAGTGCCAAGTCCAGGGCTTCCCCCGGGCCCTGCAGTGGCCCCAGCTGTCCTAGCAGCTGCCCCCCAGGGGCCCTTCACTGGAGGCCTAGGTAGGGGGTGGGCACAGTGCCTGGGCCTTGGGCTGTGTGTCCCAAAGAGCAGAGACAGACATCTGGCACACCTGGCCCACAGAGGATGGGGGGCTGACCCCTTCCCTTCCTGCTACCCACAAGACTGGGCAGCGATGTCCCTGGGCAGAGGAAAGGGAGAGTGTGGCTCCTGGGCCTCCAGGTGGTGGGGAGAGGCATGGTCTGGGGTCTCCCTCAGGCAGGGAGAGGACTTAGCTCTCACCTCGGATGCCTTGGCGGATGCGGGGGCATGGGCCCCACAGCTCCTGCAGGGTCACAGGGCTCCCGGAGGAGCCCTCCCGCAGCCCCACCAGCTCCTCCATGGGGTCCCTGGGGAAGCAGCAGATCCACAGCCCCTCGGCGAGCTGCTCCAGAGCTTTTACTCCACCTCCTGGCCCTTCCAATATTCTCTCTGAAATAAAAAGGAAAGGTCCTGTCCTGCTCTGTGAGTGTGTGTGGTGCACGTGTGCACGTGTGTGGCACATGTGTGTGTGTGATGTTATCGGGGGGAGGTCCAGGTGTACCTCATCATGGGGACTGTCACTGATGGGGGAGTGTAATGTGAGAGTTGGGGGCAGAGCTCCTGAGGGTCCCCTCTGTATCCCCGATGGTAAGTTGGGTATCAGCAGGATTCCTGTGAGGGAGCCCTGGCCCCCTTTCTGTGGCCACCACTTCTACCCTACTGGGAGCAGTCTCCTGGCCCAGGAATGTCCCTGTCACTGACAAGGGAGGTCTTCATGCCCATCAGTGAGCACCTCCTGTGCTCAGGCCCAGAAGGACTCCCCTCGAGAGTCCAAGTAAGAGCTGGGCTCCTGTCCTCCACCCTCTGCCCGGCCTGCCCCAGCCCTGGCAGGTCCCACCAAAGTCCATGCCCAGTCTCAAGCCCAGCAGTCTCTCACCTGCCAGTCCGCCCTGTTGTGGTCCCAGCTGGCCCTCCTCTTACAGAGCCTCCTCGGGCTCCAGCGTCTATGCACCTGGACAGGTGCATGCTCCACCAATCAGCATCCTCCCCCGCCCCTACCCTGGCCTGGGTTTCCTGTGGCCATTAAAAATGTCCTTGACAAACCAACCAGAACTGCCCAGGGCAGAGTTGCCAAGAAGGAGGGGGAGCAGGGGCTTCCCCCGCCCACCGCAGCCACCAAGGGGGTGGTGCCCAGGCCAGCGGGGCTGGGAAAGGAAGCTCACCACACAGCAGGACAGTGAGGGCCATCTGGTCTGCCGGGACCGAGGCTCAGGGCTCTGGATTCTCAGGGCTGGGCCTGGAAGGCGTTTGGAGCAGAGAAGGGAAAGGAAGGGAGGCAGGTAGAGCAAGGGAAAGCATGTGGCATAGGTGAGCAGGGGGCCAGGCATGATATGCAACTCTCCCCCAAATTACCCAGTGTACCCAGAGCCCAATGAGGTGGGCAGGGTCTGCAGGGACCAGGCGCCCCTCGCCTTGGCTCTCCCAACCTGCCGAATATGCACAGTAAAAGGATAATGAACTGCCCGTTGACACCCAAAACCCAGGCTCTGGCCTCATGCAGCTGCTGCTACAGTGCACAGCTGGCCCCATGGCCAGCGGTTC